ATGTAAGCTGGATTTGTTCGGTTCGAGTATTTCATACTAATATTCGAATAGTCGAATAGATCGAAAATTAAAATTTCGAATAATGCAGTTTTCGAATGATTCAAAGATGGATTCGTTCCAAGATTTAAACAATCAAATTTTCGAATGTGAATTCGAATGGTCATATAATTATCGGACTCAATCTATTAATACTGACTACCCTTAGGTTCCCCCAAACCGAAGGCGGCAATTTCTTGGACATGTCGCACCTTTTCAAGAATGTTGGATTCTCTTTCGGAGTAATATAGTTTATTTTAATCATAAGATCTTGTAAGGGTTTGAAAGATTATGGCAAGTGCAGCAACCGCAGTTGCCAAAGATAAGGCTTTACAAGTAAAATTACGCTACGAGACGATGATGCGTTTTACAAACAATTTAAATCAACACAGCTCTTTAGAATAAATCAATTAGGCCCAGGGAGAGTTTTTTTTAGAATAAAGGAGTAGGTCTTGCCAAAAGCAGAAATTCTCGACATATTCTAGATATACTATAAGATGCAGATTGATGCGCTAATTCTAAATCTGCTCTTCACGAGTTTTGATGACTGCTGCCAGAAGAACACAAAAAGGATTGGGAGCAATTGAGAATCAGCTTCAACTTGCAACTGATAGTATGTATCTCATTTTAAATCGCCATTTCGACAAGGATCTCCTTGTAAGCAGTTGATTGACTACTGGGAAACAAGAGTAGAATAGGAAGGGAACAGGAGAGCCGTGCCATTGCAAGAAGTCCAACTAGCTTTCATGACTGTGAATATATTGTGGTAGTAGAAAATTCAACTGACTTACTATACCATCTCCATAACCAGCCAACAGCCGTTTTCCGTCGGGCAGCATATGACCAGCAGTGCAAGGCGATCCGTTTCCAGCATAAACCTATTACTGACATGCTGAGCTAATTTACGGAGTTGAGAAAGCGAACACTCACTTTCGATTGTGCTACTCCAGATGGGCCAATCAACCACATCCATACCATACCATCCTTGTCACCGGCAAAAAGAATATCACTGATATTATGCCAACAAACCCATTCCAAATCATTGCAATCGTCGATCTATAAGTTGCCAACAATATCCACATAAAAATAAACACTCAGTTAATTATTAATAAGACAGTTATTAATCGTCACTAAAGTTGATCAAAAAGCACTGGTTAGTTCTATGACGAAAAGCGTCAAGCCACACCAATGCGTTCCAGAGAATACTTGAAAATTAAAGTTGGAGCTACAGTCATTAGCCTCATCAGAAGACTTTCATGGGCGAAGTGAAACTCCAACGTCAATAACTAGTTATTTGCATTTTTAACTCGAATTTTACTATGTTCTTATGATATGAATCTTCTCAGAAGTGCTTATTATTCGTTGAGCGTTTAAATAAACGCGAACAGAAAACATAGTCTTCCAAAACAAGTTAAATGATGAATCTGTTATTTAATCCATGGTTCGCATATCTACCATATTTTGAAGGCCCCAATGAGCTGGGCTTCTGCTTATATAGTGCTGACCCATCATAAACGCAGTCAAAAAAAAACGTATCTCGCTTCTTTATACAAGAAGTTTTCTAGAATTTGGTCCAAGTTTGTTCTTTTATTCAGTTTATTACGATATACTATAGCCGTTTCAATCTAATTTGATGAGGAGAAAATCGAAAAAATCAGTTGAATGCACAAAAGAAAGATAGTTAATTGAACAACGCAATCCTTGTTCTACCGCCTTCTTTGCAACCGATTGCTTTTGCAAGATTACAGCTCTAAACTTCGAAATAGCTTAAGTTCTGCCAAGTTTTGGAAAAGAACTAATTAAGCTTATTCTTATTTCTTAAGAATCTTACCTTAAAGAAAAGCTTTTGTTTGATAACTTCACTAAAAAAGATGCCAACAGAGCTTTTAAATCCTTAAGCAGTTCACGAGCAGAGCTTGAAATGACTGGAAAGATCCACACTGCCTTAGGCTCCATCCATAGCTGATGACTGGTAGCCATAGCTTGCGATGGCTACTACGCATAAGGTGCGTATTGACTACCGCGGCATGACGCGGCTTCCGCTGCGTCCGTCCGTCGCCATCGCGATTGTGACCCGCCATAGCTGACAATGCCGACATCGGCCGGCTTCCTACGGCGATCACCACATCGGCGAAAATCGACGCCGCTGGAAGTCTCTCTGGATGGACTTCTCGCGACGTCAAGAGGAGATTTTGATGTGCAATCTTTAACAGTATTTTCTTTTGCTTAGTAAATTTATTGAGAAAAATATAGAGAAAATTTAGTTTGATATTAGCCAGGAAATTACGGTAACTAAAATAGGTTCCACGGTGACAATTGTGGAAATTATTTATTAGTCATGATCATATATTTATAATTTGTTGAAATAGGAGAATATATATTGAAACAAAAGAATACAGAATATGAAAAGTATCTCTCTAATACAGCGTGACATTCTGCGATACTCCAACTTACACTAAATTCAACGTCAACTTATCAACTTTGCTCGTCAGTGGCTATGTTTGTAGTTACAGAGCTATGGACAATTTCGTGATATTTTAGGCGTAAGTTCGGATTACTGTGTTTCTACAAACTTTCTTTCAAAATGTACTCAACACTTTAGTGTGAAGGTCGAGACAAACTCGTACCCCAGATGCACCCATTTTGACGCCTCTTGACGCCAGAGAAAGCCAAGAGGTCGGCGATCGCCAGCGCGCCCGCTATACCTCCCACCGTCAGCTATGGATGGAGCCTTAGAGCGCATCAGAGCCAATCCCAGCTCTCGGGCTAGCTTGTATGCGCGCAAAATCCTAAAACGAAGTGGAAGCAAGATCCCCGAATAGGAGATGTGTTCGGAGGTGGCAGTTTCCAGAGCTGTGCATCTCTATCAAACTTCGGCGTTGGATCTGCACAAGACAAACTGAATTCGTTTTTGTGAAAAAAAAAATCAAAGGGAAAATCGGAGGCAATCCGGATGAGTGGGGAGGGAGGGAGAGCGGAGGCGGATACCACATTAAATCGAGAACTGATCTACTATTTGATAGATGACTGCCAAGGTCACATTTGAGTCCTAGAAAGATGTTTACGGCAAAGAAAGCGCCCTTTCATGAATGTGTTTGTAACAATAGCCAGCTTTGCGTGAGCTCTCAATATATATATATATA